TATCATTAATATCTATTTTTGATTTGTGCTTTGGTGAAAGTAAATTTTGACTGTTGGCAGTATTAACTATAATTTTCTAAAAAAAAATGTTTTACTTTTTCAAAATATCATTAAACTATTATAGTGTTAATGAGAAAATATAAAATTATGCTAAAAAATATATAAAATTATGCTTAAAAAAAAAGCTTTAAAAAGATGATATGATTATGTTTTTGATTTTGATTTTTTTTTTTTTTTTGCAACTATAAAATACATTTCCAATAAAAAAACGATTACGAACAAAACAACTCAGTTTAATAAAAAGTTACAATAAATATTAATATTGTGAATTAAAAGAACGCAGAGGCTTAAAAATGGGATGATCTGTTAGACTCTGCTTGAACAGAGAACCGAAAAGAAAAGAAATTTTTCACATAAAGAGTTTTGGAAACGCTCGTTTTCAAAACTCGACTTATATTTGCCGTTATCTAAAAGTCTAAATCAAATTAAGTTTATAAACTAACATAAAAACTAACATTAAAAAGTTTGTTTTAATAAGATATTTTTGTAAATTTACGACTCTGTTATCATAAATTAACATAAAGTATATAATATTTTTTTGATTACATATTTTAGCTACCAACAGTATAAAATATAAAATTTAAAGTTTTAATATTGTAGTGTTTAATAAATTTTTTTAAAGAAATCACAAATATATATCATCAAAAAAACAATTTTTCTAAGGTTTTGTTTAAATAAGTGAAAAGCTCAACTGTCGAGAAAAGTCTAAATTATTCTAAACTATTTTCTTCCAAAGGAAAGCTCCTTAAAGAAAAATACAATGTTTTTCAAAGTTAGTTTGATAAGGGGTTGTCCATGAATTATGTCACGCATTTTTCCCCCTCCCTCTATTCCCTTCTTGTCACAACACTTTTGTAACAAGTCCCGTATGAGTCGTTACAAAAACAGCAAACCCCCCTCCCCTCCATAACGTATGACGTAATTAATAGACCACCCCTTACAAATGGATTTTGCTTTTTAATATTTTATAAATATTATCATTTTAAAAACGGTAATATAAATATGATTTTTTTTAAACGGCATTTACATCTTCTCTTTTTTGGTATACAAATTATGAAAAAGTAACGAATGTTGATTGATCTTGCATTTATACATAGAACAAATAATATTAAAAACATTTAGCTCATTTATATTAAGAAATTTTTTATTAAAAAATATAATTTAAATTATTAGAAGCATGAGTTAATCAATTTTTAATATTTATAAGGTAAGTAGGTATTTAGAAAGTGATAAAGGGACTCGAGTTTAATTTTATTAGTAATACCACAGGCATTGTTCGTATAGCTTACATTGCGCTGAAGCATATAATATAGTTTAGTTATATTATTTATCTTCATCGCATAAACGATTCATAACTTTACAGCGTTATGAATAGTTACGTTTATTACAAAGTTTGTAAGCTGCACTAAAATCTTTTTATTGCTTTGATATAATTTTAACTAAACCTTATTCGCAGTGTCATCTAATCGTGTTCGCTCATCAGTCTCATCCAATCGTGTTGACATAGTCTGTGTATAATCTGATTGCAAAGATTTGTTTGATAACACGATATTTTTGTAAATGCTTTTATCAGTTATGTTTGCTAAATTTTTAAAAAGAAAATTTTTATTAGTATCATGTATTTTTTTAAAATTATCTTTATTTAAAAATTGTTATTTATTTAATTAACTTAATTGCTTTTACTTGATATTTGACTTTTTATTTCCATGCTGTTTGATGAATTTACAAGTTTGGAAAGTTTCCGAAAAGATTCTTTATTCGTTATTATGGTATCTTTAAACGACTCTATTACCTCTTTATCATTACTCACTATACCTGATTTCATTTCGCCTAGTTCTCGGATTACTGATGCTAAAGTATCAGCATCTTTGATTCCTGAAAGAATAATTATAAATAATAATTATAAATAATAATTATAAATAATAATTATAAATAGTAATTATAAATAATAATTATTAACAATAATTATAAATAATAATTATAAATATTACAACAATTGTAAATAGCATTTTTTGCTTCTTATAAACAAGGTAATTCCTATGTTTATTGAAAAAAAATATTTAACGACATAAATATCACTTTTACATTAAAAATATATTTTAAAAATGTTTCATTATAATAACTGCGCGTCATTAAAAAAAATCAAACAAATACTACCAGCCATTTCATTTAAAAGTCGTTTAACAGCATCTTTAACCGGATCTATAGGATCGTTTAGCTTTGGTATTAGCTTCAACAGAACATCTCTGCGATTTGGGCTTAGTGCGAGAAAAGCAGAAACCGCATAATGACGAATTTGTCCAGATGGGTTTTCAAGATATGATAATAGTATTTGTATAAACTTTTCAAAAAGTTCGTTTGACATACTGTAGTAACTAAAAAACAGAAACAAAAAATCTTATCAATCAACAATAACTTTTTTTTTTTTAATTAATCAAGTTTAAGATAAATAGAAGCTCAATATGTTTTACATTTTTATATAAATAAAGTTTGTTTTTTTAAGCCAAAGGCTCCCTATATTTTTGTACAAAGTTTATAAAGTTTGCATTAAAAAATGTAAATTTATAAAAAATTTAACTCCCATATATATATATATATATATATATATATATATATATATATATATATATATATATATATATATATATATATATATATATATATATATATATATATATATATATATATATATATATATATAAAATACTAACAAATATGCGATAACAGAATGGGAATAGAAAAATGAAGTTTAGTAAATGGGGAAAGGGTTACAATAGAGATCCTCGTGTCACCCATAATATTGCAAACACTTAAATGAACATTGAAAAAATAAAGCCAAAAAAAAAAAAAAAACAGGTAAGAAAATATGTTAAAAATATGTTAAAACGTTAATAACTTTATAACAATCATTTTTATAACAATTTTATTCGTTACAAAATTTTTTTATTTATACACCGTGATACAACTTTAAAAATATTTAATTTGCGTACTTTTGAAATATTTAATTTGCGTACTTTTAAAATATTTAATTTGCGTACTTTTGAAATATTTAGTTTGCGTACTTTTGAAATAAACTTTTATTGATACCTGTGTATTTTAGTAATAGCTGCCAGAATTTCCTTAAACACTAATGGTTGAGATGTATTCAATTGATTGATTAAATAAGAAATTACGAAGTTTTGGTCAGAGCCAATGTCACGCGGGAACCACTCTTTATCCGTATATTCATTATAAGGGGGAGGTACGCATTCAATTAAAGGAACAGATTCAATTTCTATTTGAGGAGTAGGCAGAATTTTAAATATAGAAGCAGATTCAATTTCTGTCTTTGGACTTTGATTTATAACTTCATTTTTTGGAATTCGTTTTGTAAGAATCTTGTTACGTTTTTTCTCCTTAATATTATCGACTATACTCTTTGTATTTTGCCTTGTTTTTTTCTTTTCAGACGTAAAGGTGTCATCTCTTATAAAATAATTTGTTTAATATATAAAAAATCAAAATACGATATTTTTGGTTGTAACTATACCTAGTTTTACAAGAACTCTTACCTCAATTTTCTTTTCTCAACAAATATGCCGCCTTGTTTATCTGGTCTCGATATTTGCTCCTTAATTCCAGACAAGAAACTAAACGTTTTTGTATTAGTAACTAGATAATTTTCATCATTATCACTAAATTCAAAATTGTTTTCAAAATCAATCTCCTCTGGTACATTATCTTGTTTTGATAAACGGTCCGTCATTCTTGCTAAACGATCAATAAATGGGTAAGCAGGTTTTCGAAACGATCGTACGATAGAATTAGGAATAAAACAATCGGGGGCAAACGGCCATACATATCTCTCTGACAATAAAACTTCATTTGTTGTGGTAATGCTTTTCTGAAACAAAATTTTAAGAGATAAAACATTTGCAATAAAAAAAACTTCAAAAAAGTTACAGATGACAACTCGGCAAACAAAATAATCAATAAAATTTCTTTTTAAATAAAATATAATAATTTTTATAATAAAATATTTTTATAATAAAATATAAATAATGATAGCAATCGTAATAATAAAAACTTTTTTTTACTCAAATTTACTCAAGACCAGCGTTAATATACTTTTGAACAATTTATTTTAGAAGGACCCTTAGGCAATTATTAAAGTTGGGTAAAAATACTTTTGAAACATAATAGTAGAATAGAGCAAAATTTATTTTCAAAAAGGTAGAAAACTTCCAGTTAAAGACAAAATACAGAGTTCTGTGCAGCTTTTTAGCCAACGTTACATTCGAAAAAAAAAGTGTTAGCAATACTACTTAATACTGTAAAAAAAAAATAGATCTAATTTTTTATTCCACTCTTATTTATTTTATTTAAATAAATTTACTTCTGCTTTATTCTTTATTTTTGTATTACACACTGACACAAACACACTCACGTATATATATATATATATATATATATATATATATATATATATATATATATATATATATATATATATATATATATATATATACATATATATATATATATATATATATATATATATATATATATATATATATATATATATATATATACATATATATATATATATATATATATATATATATATATATATACATATATATATATATATATATATATATATATATATATATATATATATATATATATATATATATATATATACATATATATATATATATATATATATATATATATATATATATATATATATATATATATATATATATATATATACATATATATATATATATATATATATACATATATATATATATATATATATATATATATATATATATATATATATATATATATATATATATATATATATATATATATATATATATATATATATATATATATATATATATGTATATATATATATATATGTATATATATATATATATATATATATATATATATATATATATATATATATATATATATATATATATATATATATATATATATATATATTTACTGACATAGTCGAAAGAATAGTTTTCTGCAAGAATTTGTAAATTCCGAAAATTTGTAAATTTTCGAAATTTACAAATTCTTGCAGAAAAAAAATGGATGGTTGAAGAAAAGTTGAAGATAAGTTTTTTTTTACAACGCTTTGGCAAATATAACTAAACAAACCTCTTCAAAACTAAGAGCTTTTGAATCTTTAAAATTGAAAGTGTGCAATTCTTTATAAGTAATGGCTTCTGATTTTTCAATTAGCTTTTTACTTAATATTTTTTCGGCAAACCGATTGTCTTTATATTTTCTGATTTTTCCAAATGAAATTGGTTTGATATTATCCCCTGGCGTTTGCTTACTTTTGCAACTGGTCATCAAAGCATTATTATCAATCATATTTTGGTTTACTGTTGATTCCTTTTGCTTTGTTGTCGATTTCTGGTGTTTTAATTTCAAACTAAATTCCTATTGAAAAATATTTTAGTTTAAGTATTCATTTGATGAAAAATATTTTTCTTAAAATAACTTAAAATATACTTAAATTCATCCAGATATTTAAACATACTTTAATGTGATCAAAAGTTTTTTTGCTAAGTTTAGTTACAACTGGCACACGACGGCTATCGTACCAAAACTTCAAATTTGGATCAAATGGTGTACAGTATTCAATTTTATCATCTTCTATGTTTTGTTCAAGCAGAGTTTCTAAGTAAGATTGTGGTAAATATTCCGTTACCGAAACGTGGTGTAAATTTTTTTGAAAACCAACTAAAATATCTCCTCTGTCATTGCAAAAGCACATTCCAGACAATGTCTCATCAAAACAAAGTTCTCTGATGAGCATGCAACTTGCATCCCAAATTTTTACTTTTCCGTCTTTTGAAGCAGATGCAAATATAGGGATGCTTGAGCAAGCTGTTAACTATGCAATAACGAGCAATATAACATACAATTGTAAACTAAACTAAGCAACAATTAATATTTAAATTTTAGAAATTAGAATTGTCTTGCTATATCTCCACATTTTTAAGTTTTGAGATAAAACAATTTAAAAAATAACATCTTTAGAAGACTTATAAAACCATTTTTATTACTTATGATTTCTCCATAACTTTTTTACTTATAACTAAAACTTTGCTTTTAACACTACAGAAAAACTTCTGAAAAACTTCTGAATAACTCTATCAATAACTCAATCTTTTTAAAAAGTGGAGATAGAACAAGATTAGAACAAGATTAGAACAAGATAATTCTAACGTTGCGAATTATAAGAATAAAAATAAGTTTTAAAACAATTTCATTTTCTTGAAAATGGAATTACTCTTACAATTAAAAAATGATTTCAATAAGAAAAAAAAATTTCAATTTTCTCTTCTACGCATATTTTGTTTTACATTTGTTTTAGGCCCCCTATATTTGCCCCCCCTCCTCCACTGCGGGTTTAGGGTATCTTAGTCACGGCTCTGTTTACAATATGAGCCAGGTTTATAAAAAAAAAGAAGCGGAGATTGCATATAAGATTATAAACGCTAAGAACTTTTGTCTTGCCGCTTTATCAAGTTCATAATCTTATATGCAGTGCCTGCAAAAAGTATTAACGCACTCGTAATTTTTTCATCTTAATCAACATCATATGGATATAAATTGAAAACTAATTTTATTTTCGTACTAATTTTTTGATTAAAGGTAACACCTATTAAAATATCTTTTTTTTAAATTAAAGGTAACACCTAGTAAAATAGTTATAATGTCAATTATTTTATGACTTTTTTTTTCGATAAATTAATTAGAAGTTTAATGACTACTCTGAAAAATGAGTGCAATTAAGTTTTCAAAACTCAGCACACTTATTAAAAAATATTAGTGCATTCATTTAATTTGAGTTTTTTCATTTTAGAAAAAAAAATTTGTATTCTTTTCAATTAATTTTTATTATTAACTCTTTGATAATTAATAATAGTTAATAAAAAATGTAAGTTGCATAAATTGAAGTGACAAAAATGTCATTTGAAAAACAGTAAGTTAAAATTTCAAAATTGTAACAACAAAAGTATGAGTTTAAATAGAATATCAATTGAAACAAAGTGGCAAATTGTTGACATGCACAAAGGTGGTTTAAGAACAATGCTCAAAACTACAATGAATTTGGCACAGTCAAAGACAACGTCGCTCTAGTCGTCCTAAAAAAAAGGCAGAAAGAGATGAAAAAAAAGCAATTATGCTCGTTAGACGAAACCAGTATATCAACATAGCCAGAATCGTCTCAGACCTGAATACAACAATGGATATACATCAAGTTAGTGGACCAACAATTAGCGAGGTGATGGGCATGTTGGGCTGCATTGCTTAGGCAGGCTAATGCTAGGTGCATTAGCGCCAGGCTAATGCATCTAGCATTAGCCTGGTGCATTTTTACACAGATGGGCTTAATCAACATTAGTATAAAGAGATATAAAAAAACTATTTACATTCTTTAATGAAAGTTTTTGAAGCTGATTCAAGTTGGCAATTTCAACAAGAAATTGCACACAGCGCGATCAATCGAGCAATACATGGAGGAAAATCGGTTGAATCTAATGCCTTTGCCAGTTTGCTCACCTGATTTGAATCCTATTGAAAATATTTGTAGTTAAATAGACTAAAAATTGCAAAATAAAAGCCCATTAACTTGGTGCATCTCAAGAATCGAATGCAAGCGATGTGGAATACCATAAGATTTAAACGAAAAACTTATTGATTCTATGCCGCATAGAGTCCTAGCATCCCTTAAAAAAAAAGATGACCCTATAAAAACAAATGTGGCCATATAATACCTCTTTTGTCTTATTTTTGTCATTTTTATTGTATTCTAATTATATTAAAAATAATCATAAAGAAATATTTTAGTGTATTTGATACTTTGTGATTCTGTTTTCTTTTACTTTTAAAAAAAATTACTCGCCCAAGTCTCATTTGAAGATGACTAAGATAAAAAAAAATTAAGAATGCGCTAGTACATTAAATAATTTGCAATACCAGTATATATATATACATATATATATATATATATATATATATATATATATATATATATATATATATATATATATATATATATATATATATATATATATATATATATATATATATATATATATATATATATATATATATATATATATATATGTATATATATATATGTCTTATATCAAAAGAAAAATATAGATTTGTTAGGGCTTGGCGTAAAATGTGAGCTAAAGCTCTCGCCCACACTCCCCTAAAGTGGTTTACGAGAGCAATTCACAGCTCTTGCAAAACTATAAATTTGTCATTGATATAAACCACTTTTTTTCTTTTTTTTTTAGATATTGATTAGAAAATGAAAAAAGTCTGGTACAAACTACATCATATAAAAAAGATAAAACTTGAGTTTAAGATTTAACTATTTTTGCTTACAAAATGCGATTGTTTATTTTTGTTCGTGTAAAAGTCACTGATTTTTTTGTAGTGCTTAAGATTATATTTTAACTATAGAAATGGCAACAACTGACTTTATAATAAAAGTTATTCTATATTTCATTAAGTTTTTTGTTATAGTAAAGCAGAATTTTAGTATTATAAATGCGAATATAAATATTACACAATAATAATACAAAGTTATAAAAAATTAGTTAAAAAAAAAGAACTTTTTCATTTCAATTTAAAACAGGTATGCAGTTAATAGAGATTATTTTTTTTAAATCTTTAATTAGAAATATTGTGTAATATCACTGTAACGTTAATGACATTTTTGTCAAATTTTCTATCGAATAAATAAAGTTGTTAATGAATAAACGGATAGCTAGTGTCTTAAAATCTTTAGAAAACCCAAAGGAAATGGTTTTCTAATGATTTTTTTCAAAATCGGAATATTTCATATATTTTTAGAGTATGATAAAAGCATTATGCAAATATACTTGTAACATTAACGTTACAAGCATATGCTTTTAACGAGTATAAAATCAAACTTTGTTTATAAGCAATAATTTTAAATAAACAGATAGCTCGCGCAAAAAACAGAAAGCTTTCGTAAAAAGCTGTTTAGAGGGGCAGCTCGCAAGGCTCACCATATTCGATTTAGGGAGGCGTTTCTCCGCTCTCACGCTCATTTACTCCGGCCAAAGCCCAGAATTTATGTTTGCTTTTTATACTAAACTTTTATTACTTATGTTATTTTTTTTTTTGTTGTTTAATTTTTGCTTTATTTTTTACGAGCATTAAAGTGTACTTACAAAAACCGACATTTTAGGGAAATGCGCAGCGTAATGTACATATATCAGCGTAATGTACACACATCAAATTATTTTTTATGGATACGTATTGTGAATGTAAATAAGTGATTGACAGTTTTTATTTTTTCAATAAAATTTAATTTATTTTATTTTTTCATAAATAATAATCTGTTTTATTTTTTATTATGAGTGTATTCCCTTACTTCCGTTAAGACTATTTTTTTTTAAAGTTGTTTTGTAAAAACATTTTATGGAAAAACTTTCTGACAAAAAGGCACACATACACACTTTAACAAACATGCACAAACACACATATACAGAGCACATTTTCTGACAGTGCGATTGTGTGGTTATTTAATTAGCAATAAATTCAAAGTCTTACATTTTCCTCTTTCTTGCTCTAGCCATTTTAAATATTTTGTACATTGAAAACATTTCTAAACAGCAAAATAAAATAAACTAAACATGAAAATATACCTCGGTAACGGATGTTAAATGAGATTGATCGTTTGAATGAGTATTCCTACTTATATCAACTTCACCATTTGTTTGAATAACGACTTTGCATAAAAAAATTGCTTTATCCAAAGTAAAGCCTATAATATTATCGGATGCGACTAGATTTAAAATATGTCCCTCAACCTGAAACTTGTGAACAGCAAATATAGACAGAGTACTGTAATTCACTTTAAAAACTTTCCATAGAGTGATGTGCGACTCGCTTGTACATGTTATAAAATCGAAACGCAAATTATTTTGAGATGGTATTATAGTAATTACAAATCCCCCATCACAGATTTGTGGCTTCATTTTAAAACCTAAAAATAAAAAATTGCTTTTAAAAATATAATGACAAAATATCAAGCAAAGACAGGTGACAAAGAGAATTAGTAGTTGACCAAAACGAAAATTTTGTCTGAACCTAAACATGCCAATACTTTCGGTTGATTAATATTTTAACAGACACCAATCTTTCTGTCAAAGTCAAAACAATTTCTTTAAAACCAAACACTTTTAAATAAACAAAACGTTGATAACGTAAATAAGGGTGGTGTATTTATAAAGAACGGATGTATTTTTGCTACTTGAAGTGCTTAAGTTTAAAAGAGAAAAACAAAAGAAACTAAAAAATATATATATTAACGAGAAAAATATTAAAACTAATACTTATAAATAAATATTATTGAACATATGGCAGTAACACTTGAGGAAATTTTTAAAAATGTTAAAAGTTTTTTTAGCTCACATTACTTTTCATTCAAAAAGGTATCTGGCACAATTCAAACTATTTTTTTTATATCAGTCAGCATATTAAAACCCAAACCATTTTAAATTAAATTTAGTAAGAGCCATACATAAAAAAAAATTATTAAAAAACTTGTCTTTAACAAGTTTTTATTTAAATAAGTAAAAATAAAAAAGCGCTGTTGAAGATTTAAGTACTACCATGAAAAAAGGTTAGCTCGGAAAATTATTCCCTAATTTCGTGAAATTTTCGTAAAATCGAAAGCGAACTAAATGCGGTTAAAATTATATGTTTTATTTGATAAAGTCATTTATATTTAGTAAATGGTTGCAATTTGAACCAAATTTCGACCGAAAATAATATTACAGTAAATATTAAACAAATATTTTGCAATTTTGGTAAAAATCAAAAATTTTGGTTACAACTGACATTGAAATTACTTTTAATGATTCATGAGTAAACAATTTACCTCGGCCATATAATAAAGAGATTTTCCCATTTTTATGAGCAGCTATCAACAATGGCGTCGTTTTATATTCAATTTCTACATAGATTAGTTCCAAACATATGACAGCGTTTTCTTTTTCTGGAAAACATAACAATTGCACTGCTCTAAAAAAGTTTATAAAAAAGATTAGATCCTATTTAAAACAGAATAGTTACTAAATATAATATAAAATCTAGTCGAAATCTAGAAGAAAAATTATTATATCAACTTTGGTGGGTTTTGAATCTAAAATAAAATAAAAATTTTAAAGAATGTTTAAAAATTTTAAAAAAGTTTAGAAATTTTACGTTTTGAAAATGTTGTTTATGCTAAAAACACTGTTTTAGTTTTAAAAATGTTGTTTATGCTAAAAACACTGTTATTTAAAATGGCTTTTAAATACTTCTGTCGTAATACTTTGATTCCATGTATCTCTTCATGCTTTTTGTTCATCCGTAATTTTTGTCGTAAAATTTATCGTAATTTCACCGTAATATTTATACATCTTTATTGTAAAATATTATGATTACATTTTTTTTCTTTTTTTTTTTACTAATTAAAAAACGTTATTTTTTGTTATACTTCTAAACAATATAATTTATCAACAAACAGTTTCTGTTACGTTTGTGGATGTTATCTTGAACTTGTTTTGATGAAAAGTGCAATTTTAAAAGATACATGCATTTCTAAGCTTAAAAAATGTACTTTGGAATATTTATTAAAGACCAAAATTATGAAATATTATGAAGTTGCATAAAAATCTTCAATACCTGATTCTGACAACGCCTGATTCTGACAACACCTGATTCTGACAACACCTGATTCTGACAACACCTGATTCTGACAACACCTGATTCTGACAACACCTGATTCTGACAACACCTGATTCTGACAACACCTGGTTCTGACAACACCTGATTCTGACAACACCTGATTCAAACAATAAGAAGATGAATGTGTTGTACTAAATAAGGAGTTTTTTAAGAATCTTTGAAATTATTACAAAGTGGGTTTGTTGTAAAAATTGTTAATTAAAACTTTCACCTGCATGGATTTGTTAATGTTGATATAAGTAAACTTTCACCTGCATGGATTTGTTAATGTTGATATAAGTAAAATTCCTTGTTCTTCTTTCAATAAAGCGTACAGTATTTCTTCTATTGGATCATGATGGTAAGATATCACTTTGTGCGAAACAATCGGAAATAGCATTGTCAAAATATTGCCATGAACGGGTGAAACAATGCGAACTCCCCCATCATCTGCCGTAACTAGTATACGCGACACCTGATTGTAATCATTAGATAATACTTTACTAGGTTTAACTCTCTGAACTTTATTTAGATTAGATCCAACTACTGTGAATAAAGTATGAAATAAGTTTATATCTAATATGTGCAACGAAAACTTTGACGTATAGTATAAAAGGCGGGAGTTGATTAAAAAAACTTGACCAATAGAGTCTGCAGAATCAAATCGATGTGTTTCTTGAAATGTTTCGAATCTCCATAAACGTATTGTTGAGTCTTCCGAAGCCGATATAAGTATGTCTTCGCAGGGATGAACATCTAGTTTTATTACTTTTGCAGTGTGGCCGTTAAAGCAACCAACATATGGGCATGTTTTCATAGATACATTCCAAACCTTTATAGATCCATCCCATGAAGCTAGAACAAAAAAATTATCAATTATGAATATATATATATATATATATATATATATATATATATATATATATATATATATATATATATATATATATATATATATATATATATATATATATATATATATATATATATATATATAGGGAAAGCGGGACAACAGAGCGAACGGGGCAAGATGGGTTTTCATATAACAACTCAACAAAAAATCTTAAAGTTGAGTAAAAATGAAACTGTATTTGCATCTTGTATTTTAAAACACCAATTGGTTTTTTTAAATATTATTAACGCAATTTTATACGCATAAGTTTACTTTTTGCGTTTAAAAAAAATTCCTCAGTTTCGGTTTCTCATTATGGTGTTTAAGTTTAAGTTCTTTAGAAATAGCTTTTTGTGACTTGTGTTTATTTTGTGTTACTTTAGTTAGAGTTATTGATCTATATATATATATATATATATATATATATATATATATATATATATATATATATATATATATATATATATACATATATATATATACATATATATATATATATATATATATATATATATATATATATATATATATATATAAATATATATATTTATATATATATATATATATATATATATATATATATATATATGTATATATATATGTATATATATATATATATATATATATATATATATATATATATATATATATATATATATATATATATATATACATATATATATATATATATATATACATATATATATACATATATATATATATATATATATATATATATATATATATATATAAATATATATATTTATATATATATATATATATATATATATATATATATATATATATATATATATATATGTATATATATATATGTATATATATATATATATATATATATGTATATATATATATTTATATATATATATATATATATATATATATATATATATATATATATATATATATATATATATATGTATATATATATATGCATATATATATATATATGTATATATATATATATATATATATATATATATATATTCATAATAATGTGTTTGTCATTTAATCCATTTAATGAAACAAGTTTTATGATTACGCCTAATTTTACATATAAATAACGTAATATACAGCCGTAGTACATATTATACAAACTATTTGATCATGTATAAAATTAATTAAACAATATAAATTAAACAAATGACAAAATGATAGTTAGCAATTACAATTCGATTAAGTAATTAAACTACAAATAATAAAATGAATAAAAATGTGAAGGAGAAAAGTAATAACATTTACAAAAACATTTTTCTTTTTTTTTTATCAAACTTATTTTAATTTAAAATACAAATTTAATATATTAAAAAGCATGTATATTTAAAAAAAATTTAAACTGTAAATTTTTATAAACTATCATAAATTTATTATTTATGATAATATATCAGCTATAAAAAAAACAACCGAATCACATGGAAAAAAAAGTAATGCAAAAGCAATCAAACCCAGGGTTCAATTTCTGTTGCACAGGTTTACATAAAAATATTTAACCTCGTAAATAGATAAGTTTTTACCTGTCAAAAAATACTCTCTTTGTAAGTATGTTAAACACGTGCTGAATAAGAAACCATTCAGATTTTTTATTGTCATTAAAGTATTCAAATTTGTGGAATCTAGAAAGTAAATCAGATTCCCAGTTAAAGCAACAGTCAGCTGTTTCTCCTCAACAAACTCTAAATAATGTACCCATGGTTTTTTATTGGAAAATTCCAAATGTACTTCCTTTATCAACTGAGGTGCGTTATGAGTATTTGCATTTAACTTCCATTGTTGAACAAATCCGATACATCCAGTTACAATCTGGTTTGTTTTCTCGTTATATTTCATGCAAAGAATTGAATACCCTAACTGCAATATACTTTGTTCTTGAAAAAGCGGTCCAAATGTTCGTATGGTTAGATCTTTACAAAACGCAAATATGAGGTAACATGATGGAACGTAAACAGCATTGGTAACTAGAGAGCCTAACTTTTTTCGTCTTTTTCTAAATCGGAAATTGTCTTTTTCTATAAGCCACGAACACAAACCGTTCTCATCTCTGCTACCATAAAAAGCAATATAGTTAACATTTGATTTTGTCTCAGCGTATAAACTGCATTGAACCGGCTCTGAATTTGTTAAAACAGTATTTGTCTGAAGCCCATAGGGCACATTGATAAGCTTAGAATCATTTGAATAAACTTTGTTGTATTCAACAGCAGCCTTTACTTCATTCATAGTAAGGATTTTTATACGGTGGAAAAGTTGAAGCTTAGAATCAATTTCGTCCATTCCACTTAGTTCCTTTAATATTTAATATTTTATTAAAATGTAGATTTTCAAACTTTAAAATTACTCTTACAGAAAATCTTTTTACAAGTGACATCAAAATAGTTCACTATATAACAACAAATTAGTATCTTTATAAGCATTTTGTAAGTTGAAATAAATGACGTCAAATATGTAAAAGCCAAAAGAATTGAGAATGCCAAATGCAAAACAGATCACTGGGTTTATTTAGTTTTTATTTTTCTTGCTGAATTCATTTTTTTATAATTAGTAAAAGTTATTTTAATTTTTTGAATAAATGTTTTTTGTTCAATTTTAAATTACCATAATTTTGCTTTTTTCTTCCTAATTTAATATATTTTTGTTTTTTAGCAGACAAACAAAAAAGATAAGCAGGAAAAAAGCAACTTTAGTTATTCAAAGGTTTTTAAAATATACATAATTTGTTTTATATGTATATATAAATATATATAATTTGAAGCTTTCAAAGCCTTTATTAGTAGTTTTTTTTCAATAATTATTATAACATTTATAACAATTATGATTTTTTTATTTATAAACATTTATAAACAAAATTGTTATGCTTATAACATTTATAACAAATATAACAATTAATTTTCTGTAATTTTTTTTTGTTGTCAATTTACTTTCCGTTTGTATTATTAAGAACCTAATTATATATTCTAGGTTCCTATTTTTAATTTATATAATTTAATTACCATTGAAAAATAATGTATTAATGTATTAGTATTATTAAAATAAAGCATATTTTATTTTTAGAAAAATAACATCATTATTTTGTTTATTTTATCTTCGAAATATTATAATAAGAGTTTTCAAAATACATTTATATAGATTATTACTTTTCATTATTTTTTTGTATTTAAATTGAACTTCTTTCATATTTATCTTCTTTTATAATGACTCTTGTTGAATTCATTTTTTTTTCATACTTTTTTAGTAAAAATTCTTATTTATGTAGGTTTACTCGAGGATGGCTGACGCGTCACTTTTATCAGAAGCTCCTTAATGAGGTTGCAACTCAAACCTATTTTCCTTGAATAACTAAATTTAGTTCGATTATTTCATTAATTGTTTTCTTTATTAACTGTTTTATTTATGAGTTGTTTTTGTCTATTAACTGTTTTATTTTTGTTTGTTATTTTTGATCAAAATTTACTTTTAGGATAAAAAGTTATTACAGGGCCGACGACACCGGGGGGCTAGGGGGCACGTGCCCCCTACTTTTTTTTGTAGAGGACCTTTTTTTTTTCAAGAAAAGATTTTTTAAAGAAATTTTTTCATGATATAGAGGACCTTTTTCACAAATTGATAATTTAGCCCCCCCCCCCCACTTCATAACCCGTGGCGTCGGCCCTGTATTATAATATGTTTTAAACTTCTAGCATCTGTATTGTACTTTTTTTGTTATTTAAAACAAAAAACAGAGCAAGGAAATGAAAAAGCGGTTGAAAGATGTCATCAGTTCATATAAAGTTCACATACAAGAAATTGCAAGCCGTCACGAAACACCAGTTGAGCTGGATATTAATCTTTATGAAATCTATCACTATGTTGTAACCCTAAGAAGTGAGTCTTGGAGAATCTTTTTTAAGTTAGTTAAACTAGTTGAAAATTTTAACAAAGTTTGTTAAAATTTTCATTTTTCGAATCTAAAATTTGTCACCGTCTAGATTACGAAAAAGAATACAACATTGCAGCATCTCAAAAAGAAAACAAACTATTAAAATTCAATGACATTATGAGTTTTTTTGAAAGACTTAATCTTCATCCAACTCAATCAGAAATTATTTTTGCAGCAAAAAAGGTTTTACCAGGTGAAACTGTATTTTTGTAAATATTAAAATTACGCATAATTTAATTGACAGTTTTTTTTTATTTTAACTAAGAACTTTATTCTTTTTAATATTGTTAAAGAAGACTAAAAACTTATATTTAAATTTAAAGAAAAGAATTACAAGGATGTCGATTACACTAGCGAAGATATAGTAAATATTGTAATGCATATTTACCCCCCGGCCGGTGCACATTTAAAGACCACTCGTAAGTCGACCTGGCTAAATCCTATTGTTGACAATGAAAATGCAATTTTGAGAAAGTTTTTTAAAAAAGGAAAAAGCAAAAAAATACTTAGTACGTTTTATACTTTCTAACTGTGTGTGTAGGCTATCCTACTAATATATATATATATATATATATATATATATATATATATATATATATATATATATATATATATATATATATATATATATATATATATATATATATATATATATATATATATATATATATATATATATATATATATATATATATATATATATATATATATATTTATTTATTTATTTATACATGTTTCTTTTTGCAGAAAAAACAATACAAATAATTTCAAGCGACATGAAGAACAACGCAATTGAAACAAGCAGTAAAAACAAAGAAAAACCAAATGATCAATAGTGTATTAAAAACTTTAAAAAAAGTAAAAATATCTAGTGATACTAGTAATATCACAAAAAAATTAGTTGTTAAAAATTAATTGCGTTTATGTTTTCATAAAAATATATTTTTGCATTAAATTAAGCAGCATTCGTTATACAAAAAAAATTGACGTTTTATGATGAAACTAAATAAATCATATAATATATGATTTATTTAGTTTCATCATAAAACAGCATTTTCTTTGTCAATAAGGTCAAAATTAAGGTCATTTTGAATTAAGGTCAAAATATTTATGTTTTCCTAAATCTCTATGAAAATATGCTTCTTTGTGACCCAGGTTGACATATCTTTACGTGATGGTGAAAAATAAGTTGCATATTTTAAATAAAAATGAGAATTGCTTTACAAAAAACAAACTGTTTGCTCTGCACCAGAAAAAATCTTTTTTCTTTTTTTGACCTGTGTTATCCTTAGAATAGGGGTTGTAATAACCAAAAATATTCAAGAGAAAAAAGTATTTGTAAAAAAAAAATTAAGAAAAAAAAAAAGATTTGAAACACTAAAGTATTGAGAATTAATTTTTTAATCAGAAGTTTAAAAATATTTGCATTATTTTTATTGTATTTTATGTGTTTAAAAAGATATTATATGTAGTATATATGTAGAGAGAAACTTAAAAAAAAGTAAACAAAAACACCAAGTTTCTTTTTAAATAGAGTTTTATGTAAAATAAAGGAGTGTTAAAACTTGGATTGCATAGCTATATATTTAAAATATGACAGCACCATTAAAATATGACCGGACCATTAGAAAATGGTTTATACAATTTTATATCACCATTAATTATCACAATTTTATTATCACCCTAAGCAAAAATTGAATTACAATTTTTGCTTACTGTGAATAAGATTTATGAAACATTTAAACATTTTCAAATAAAATAAGAAATTTAAGAAAAAAAGTTGAAAGTAATTTAAAAAAAAAAAGAAACTGATATAATTTAAACTTTCAACACAGTAATTTAGTACTGATAGTATTAAAAGTTAAAAAATTTAAAAAATCAAACTTTTAGTACTATAAGCTTAATTTTTTTATGAAGTGTTTTTAGTTACGTTTTTTATGAAGTGTTTTTAGTTACGTTTTTTATGAAGTGTTTTTAGTTACGTTTTTTATGAAGTGTTTTAGTTACGTTTACTGAATTAGTTCTATTGTAATCAAAGAAATTATTTTTTGCTTTTTGTATTTGTATTTTTTTGCTATATCTTTTTTATTAGTTTTGTTGTTGTTATTGTTGTTGGTGTATTTATATTTTTTCTGTTTACATAGTTTAAATTTGACTATTGTCTTTAATTACCTTCTTTATATAGTCCTCAATTTTCCTCTCAAATACTGTTATTGTAGTTATTATTATCATTATTACATTCGTTAACTTGTTGTCTTTGTTTAAATTTTATTTACTTCTTTTTTCTATATCTAAATAATTTTGCTTTAGTGTTTTATTTGTGAGTGAAAATTTGTTTTTAGAATATACGTGATTGATTATGTAGATTTTGCTTTAACAGATATATATATACAAACAAAATATTAGTGCTAAACAATAATCTGTTTCTGAATCTAATACTGACAGCTCTCCCCTACACAGTTTAAATAATCAATCCTCACTACACATATATATACATATAAAGTATAGGTTAGTGAGGGCTTCTCTTATGAGAGGGAAAATTGTTTATTTTATTTTTGTGTAAGTTAGATACTAATAAAGTGCTACGAGTTCACTAGCTTTATAAGCTTGCTTTTAAAAAATTAGTCCAGATTTCGGCTGAGATTTCAAAATATTGAAAATAACCTTCAAGCCGATATTTATTATTTAAGTGTTTACGTTCCATCTGTGTATGGCAATGCTTTATGTGTGCATTAACTATATATTTAAAAGCGTTAAGCTTCAAAAGTAGGTTATAGGAAGGCCAGGGCTAACTGAAACGTTTTTTGTGTCTTTTAAACGTCTGTCAAATTGCAAGTATTTTTTAAAGTTATTGTTAATACCTAAATATATCAAACCAAATTACAAAATATTCAATGATAATAAATTAAGTATTACATTCTAAAGCGCAACATATTTAATGATAATAAATTAAATATTACATACTAACACACATAATATTCTAGCTCGGATAAGGGCTAGCTCATTTGCCGAGCTAGCCTGAAAAACGACAGTTTTAAAATCGCGTTTATATGAGTTTTGTCATCTTTCGTGCAAAAAAAAAAGGGTCGAGGTCAGCCTGACTTTTTCAAACAGGGCTGGCCTCTTTATCGGTAAAATAATAATTTTAAAGATGGCGATTATTGACAAAAAAACATTGCATTTTAACAATATGTTTAACTAGTGTTATAATACAAATAACGCTTTTTAAAAGCCTAATATTATTATATAAACTTCACAAATTAAAACTTTATAATTTTTTCAACATTATTTTTCTACGTAAACGATCACGATCACTTCAAAAGATGAAACAAGTTAGAGAGAGGCGCCTTAAAAGAAAAAGTCGTAGTTGCTGGTTTAAACTGGCAGAACTGATTTATGGTGGCATAGTATAATAACTGGTGTAGCTCCCAGTGATGTATGGAAAACAAATTTTAGGCTTTCACGTTTTAGAGTTTGGTTTTAGAGTTAAGCCCATATTTATCCTTTTTTCACCTAAATCTAGAGCTCTATCAGCAGATATAAAATTAGCTATTATTCTATGTTACTTAAAAGATATTTGGGAATGACTGCAAGATATTTGGGAATGACTGCAAATGCTTTTGGAATTGCATTATGTACTGCTTCTGCCGTTATAATTTTATTTTGCTATAAGCAATAATTTTCTCTTAGTGTTCAAGATGCATGTGATTACAAAGGCTATTTTATGGATGTTGAGTGCATGTGGCTAGGTAGTGTACATGATGCTTAAAGTGTTTGCGAATTCAACAACAAATATAAAGTTAAGAAATGCTATTCTTCCTCAAGCGTTTTAAAAGCCAACAAAAAAAGGAGTGAAGATACTTAATTATCTTATTAGTGATCAAGCCAATCCATTACTACCATTTTGTATGAAAGAATATGAACATTGTTCAAATAATGAAGAGGTAATTTTTAACAACATGCTTAGAGCAGCATGAAATCCGATTGAGTGCGATTTTGGTCGCCTTAAAGCTAGATGGGGTATTTTAACAAGAAAGGTTGACCTTAAATTAGAGGATGTTCCTACTGTTATTTAGGTTTTGTATGTTTTGCATAACATATGTGAAAAAACAAATTCTTATATTGACGATAAACAAGTAATTTTTACAAACAGATCTCATTAAAAAAAACGAAAAAGAATACAAAAATGTACCGAACCTAATATATTCTATTAATGAAGCTGAAGGATTAGTTATACAAAGAACTCTTACAGACTTGATAAATTTTATATATATATATATATATATATATATATATATATATATATATATATATATATATATATATATATATATATATATATATATATTTTAAATTTTTATTTTAGGTGCCCCAAGAAGTCCTTTCGGTCTTATCACAGAGCACCGCGGATGAGCATTTAATTGGAAGTTCACGCCTCCTTACTAACTAATGTCGCAAAACTTGCCCAGAGGTGGGGTTTGAATCACGGATCATTTGTTTCTGAGGCAAGTGCGCAACACTGCGCCACGGCTGCTCAAATATCTATATATATATATACAGGCCCGCCCAGAGCTTTTGTGATGCCCGGGTCCAAAAGTTTAATGGATATCCTATCATACTTCAGGTCTTAAAATAGCAAATAAATTAATATAGTTTACTTTCATAAAAAACCTAAAATCACATTTAATTTTGGTTTGCAAAAACAAACTATGATAAAATCAATTCTTAATTGACAAACACATCTTCCGGGCCTTCTTAGCAGCAAAATTTGAAATAACTTCTTCATAATTAACATTAATGGCTAAATCTGATTCGATTGAAAGGATCATCAAGTAGCACAATCGCTCTTGGCCGATTGTGGAACGAAGATAATCTTTAATGATAGCTAACTTGCTGAAAGATCTTTCTCCTTCAGATGTTGAAACGGGCAATGTTAGAAAGATTCTAAGAGAAACACACACTTGCGGAAATATTGAATGCAGCCCCTTTGCATAAACTTCATTTAGAAGTTCGACAGGCTTTTCGCTGGCTAGAATATTTCTTCTTACGGAAAAAAAATGCCGAACTTCATCAGAAAATTCGTTTTTACATAAGTCTTCTGGGTAAAGTTTAGCCAGATTCTCAGCTTTTAAACCTAGTTCTTGGTCTGTTTGAGATTTTTGTAAAGACCAAAGGAAGGAAAACTTACTACATTCCTCTTCTATCACTTGATCTCATTTGACTAGTCTTTTTTCGCGTTCTCTTCACAGTAAACATTATTTTATCAAATTTCAAGTTCTTTGCAATTTCTGTTGCCTCAAAATCAGGTCCCAAGACAGACGGATTCGATCCAGATCCATCAAAAGGCCATTTAGAATCTTTACTTCATCATTAAGAGTGAGTTGAGTGGATTGAAGCAGAAGACTCACGTTGTTAACTGCCATGAAATATTTAAACCAAAAAGTAGTGAAAACAACAAATTCAAAAGAATTCATCCATTTAATGAGATAATGCACTTCATTACTACTTTCGCCTGGAAGGTCTAACTCTTTTAAACGATGTAATGATTTCAAGATCTCCCTTGGCTTTTTTGCTAGTGGCTTAACTGATTCAATCCTTGAACTCCATCGTGTAACAGAAAGTTTATGTAATAATTGGCTTGTCTCCTCCTGAAGAATTTTCCAACGAGCTGGGCTGCTGCTCGTTGGAAAATTCTTTAGGAGGAGACAAGCCAATCATTACATAAACTTTCTGTTAGATTGTAAAGCTTTTGAATATTTATAGCTATATATATATAGCTTTTGAACAGATTGTATAGCTTTTGAATATTTCCAAAATAGGATTTTGCAGGAGCCGA